TAGTTATAAATTCCGAGAAATTACTTTGAGAATTAAAACAACTGGATATGTGTTCCACTGGTTTTCCATAAGGTGGCAGAGAACTGTATATCCTATTGTTCTTTCAGCATCTACCTGCTGGGGAAGTACAAGAACAACTACTACTATTGTTACTACTATTGCTACTACTGCTGCTGCTGCTACTACTACTAACACTACAAACAATTGTTGTTTTTAAACGTTTTTTTTTGTCATTACAATTTCAAATTTTTAAATACGAATGATAATATTAATGACATAAATAGGTAGGCAGCTCTCTTAACATCAGTCATTCTGTACATTCATCATCCCTCCCACTCTTCACAAATTCCAAACAATAAACAATAAGATATGAAGTGTTTATAATTTTTTTGAAAATGTTGCATGACCCTTAGAATAATGAATCACAGATCATAGATTCATAGAATCGCTCAGGTTGGAAAAGACCTTAAAGATCTTCATTGAGTCCAACAACAACCTAACCATACTATCCTAACTCTAACAGCCCTCTGCTAAATCATGTCCCTGAGCACCACACCTAAATGGATTTTAAACACATCCAGGGATGGTAACTCAATCACCTCCCTGGGGAGTCTATTCCAGTGCTTAACAACCCTTTCTTTAAAGAAGTTTTCTGATATACAACCTAAACTTACCCTGGCTCAACTTGAGGCCATTTCCCCTAGTCCTGTCACCTGTCACCAACTCCACTCTTGATGTAAGCACCTTTCAGATATTGGAACAGAGCAATCAGGTCTCCCTTCAATAGGGGAAAACCACAACAAAATATAATCATTCAAAAGTTATGCTGATACTGTGAGGATATAATGACAGCAAATGGAATGGGATTTGTGACTGAGAAGGGAACATTTGTGGATTCATTTTGTAATATTTATGGATAAGTATTATCGAATAATATTCTATTAATAAAAATGCCTTATGTTTTTATTGAAAGTTTACTAGATTTATTTTTGCTATGTATTTTAACATAGTAGAAGTGCTCTCTCTAACTTACCATTTTAGTGCTGAGATATTCCCACTGTGATACTTCAGTGTTCTTGTTAAGATCTGTAGTTTTCTTTAAAAAAGATTATATTTTTCTTCAGCAAAAAAAGTATATTTGAGACGGAGAAATGCTTATATTTAATGTTTATATTTAATATTGTCTCTTAATTCCTTTCATATGCATGACATATGTCCTCCATCCTTTTGTTTTTCTTTGTAAAGCGTTGTCTTTGGGGCAGTGGGGGTTATGGCTGAGTTATGACAAACCCTGTGTGCAGTACTAGTATTTATTAATCAGTTACCCAGGTCAGCAATAGAGTTAACCAGCAGAGAGCTGCTCTTTTTTGTTCACACACACAGAATTCTCATTTTTTATTTTAGATTACAGCAAAAACAACAACAACCTTGGCAGTATTATCATAAAAGAAAACTGATAACTGCCAGATTTTATATGGAAAGGGTCAGACTGCTGCTTTTACATCATTCTAACATAAGAAGTGGCCAGAGACTCCCATTCCTCCAAATCTTCCCTGTAATCTTCTTTTTGTATTTGACTCAAGGAAAAAATAAATGTGTTCCTTCTGTTTTAAATGTCAAAGTTTAAATTTTGAAGGTTTGCATATTTGAAAATTAGAAAACACAGGTTCAGTTTTATCAGTAGACCTATCAAAATATCTCTTTTTACAAATCTTGCTTCTCCTACATCATTATTTTTATACTTCCAAGAACGAAGGAACTAAGTTGAAATAGGAACCTGTCAGCTTGCAAGCATAACCATGTCCTCACTGCAGTTTGCACTGGTACATACTCTCATGCTTTCCTACTGCATGCATGAAATAATTCTAACCTGCTTGCAAACAGGCTGTAGTGCTGGATTTGTGATTTCACTACAGAGGCACATATTGAAAATGAGAAAAAATATTAAGAAGAAACCTTATGTTGAAAATGCAGGCCTTTTGATCAGACATTTGCAAGAATAGGTGGGATTCATTTTTCTCCAATTAAGTTTAACAAAATAACCTCCATCTTTATTTCCATCGTTCAATGAAATCCTCATTCCCACAGACAGCCTTCAAGCTAGCTGCAGATTTCACAGAGAAGGATGCAAAGCATCAGATTAAAACCATTAAAACCATTAAAATCAAAGCATCATGATAGTCACAAAACCCTAGAGTCACCAAGCCTTTCATTTATCGCCACAGCTGTTTCATCTAAACATAGTGTCTGTGCAGACCCTGCTCTTTAGAGTCAGAGTTCTTTCAGACAAAAAACAAACCAACAAACAAACAAAAACAACAACAACAAAACCAACAAAGAAAACAAAACTAAGCATGAAGGAGAGCTGAATTATGTGTCTAAAGCTGTCACATCTTTCTCTGAATCTCCTGGCAAGTTCAGTACGGAGCTTGTCCTTGTCTATTCCGAAAGGCCAAGGTCCTGCTCTGACAAGAATCATCAAGACTTCATCTGACTGTACAGTGATGCATTAAGGAAGCTGCCTGAGAAGCATTTAAATATTGATTTGAGCTCTTTGAGTGTGCTCAGTGTGGCTATTTCTGTGGTGACATGGTTTGGTGGAACAGACTATCTCTGTCCATGTGGACAGACTACTGTGTCCCTGTCTCCAGCTCAGAGTGCCCTGACTGCTCAGTGTGCTCCATCACAACCACCCAGAAGTATTCACTACTCTACAAATGGCCACTGAGCACCGCCTCACTCCTCCCACCACAGCCTGGGCGATCTCCTGCACCCTGCTGCTACAGACAGCTTGTGACAGAGTGAGGCAGGCCGCTAAGTGTGATGGCCAACATATGAGAAACAGGCAACTACTTGGCTCCAGGTACTAGCACAGACCTGCTTCTTGAGACCTTTTATAGGAGAGTCTAGTTTGGACTGACACCACAAGTACTCACTAGTCTTTGCTTCTGACCTTGGGGTACCATTCTTCCACTCCCACCAAGAAAACCACAAAACTTTTTTGTTCTCACAACTGTTGAAGCAGTAGCACCCTCCCTGCAAAGTTATGACCATTACAAAAAGTTTTCTCATTTCTCTACCTCTTAGGCTAGTTTCCAGGTAAAACATGATGCACTTTCTTAGATTTTGAGCACTTCCGAATGTCTTTTAACAAGCTATTTTACAAGTTGTATCCTGCTTACGTTTGCAGTGTACAATAAAATGCAGAGCAACATCTGAAAAGGGAGCAAGGTTCATAACCGCTGACAGTTCAGCAATTCACAATACTTCACTGCAACTCATATGTTTTTCTTGTTGACCACTTTTCTTTCTCTGGACTGATGTGTTGGAAGCAATGTAACAACTGTTGCATCTCCAGCATGACTGAAAATAGGAAGCATTCACCTATATATCCATTATGTTTTCTTTCTCTGAAATGATTTCAGCATCATTAATAAGTCACAGCATAAAGCAGTTTCTGTAGCATGAGCCTTGAACAAGATAGAATTTCAGTTTTTCAAGTTTCTAAGTTTGAGAGATGTTTTTAGCTGTTCAGAAAACATTTTTGAATTCATTTAAATTCTCCTTTAAAAAAAAAAAAAAAAAAAAAAAGAGTAGGAAGAACATCTGCATGTTTCCAGATTTGTGCCTTTTGCTTTCACGTTCCCTTTCTTCCAAACAAATGTTTTAAAATTTCTAAAGCACTGGTTTGGATCATCTGGCCAGTGAATGTTCAACAAATTCTATAACTTTATTCACACCACTTGGACAGTAAACTCCTCTATGTAGGGAGGACAACTCTTTGCATCTATTCGTCTTGTGGCACAGAGCTGGTGGGCATGCAAGAAACAGTCAAGAGCAGCATGGTTGAGAAGGCTTTTCTCTCCCCAACTCACTCTCATGAGAAAATGCAGATTGATTGAAACTCCAATATTTTTAGGACAGAAATTCAGTTTCAATGCCTTTATATCTTTAGAAATGTGTAGAAAATTTTTGAAATGATGGAAATGTTTCTGTTGGGAGGGTAAACAAATTCCAAATCTCAGTTTGGCCAAATGCCATCCTCACCATTAGAAGTATCAGATTACATTGCTGCAAGTAGAACTAGCAGGCAATAGCTGCTTTTGGATGGAAAACAGTTACAAACGCTTTTAAAGTCTTTTTGTAAATAGCACATGTATGACTGGCAGATAGCGAAGATGACACGTAGGGAAAAAGTAAACAGACATTGTTTAATTTCCTTTTCAGTAGAAGTGTGTCCTATGCTGCAGCAGTTGGAAATGAGCTGCCAACTCAACGATACATGTGGTCAAATAATCAGTACAGCAGTACAGCAGCCCTGGCTGTCCAACACATGAGAAATGTTCATGTTACTTCTCTGCTCTCATCTCTGTCCTCAAAAGCCAACTGCACTGGCATATGGCACATTTCTCTGCAGTTCCTTTGAGACTTTTACAGGAGGCAGATTCACATGGGGAAAGGGAAGAGCGATTAATGCATACTTTGGTTAGTGTGTAGTCAGATTCCTGGTGGAAACAGTGATTTGGGGTGTATGTCCTACCTTATTCTTGAGGTAGTCCAAGATGTAATGTCTCCTTTTTCTGCAAACATACACCTGTACCTATGCTTCTTTTATCATTTTATTTGACACTTTGATGCAACCTCTATTAATACCTATTTTTATTTGAGATCAGTGGTTCTTATGGTTCTTTATGATCTTTTCTTTCATTGGCCCCAGATGAACAACTTGTCTGGCTTTTACTCTCTCTGTTATTCATGCCACTTATTCTTGCTGCAGGCTGCTCATCTATTAAAGGGCTATCATAGTTGTAGAGGAACTGTTAGGTTACGGCCTGAACTGATGATTGAGCACCTGCTGAAGGGTATGGCTGGCCCAGGAGGCACAGGTGCAAGCAATTCCCTTGTAATTCCCACGTGACTGGAAGGGATGGACTCTGGGTCTTCCCCTCTCTGGGCTCATTTAAGGACTAGTCTCAAAGGCAGGATTTTTTGGATGAAGACTGCTTTCTGGGGGGGAATGCTCTCTTGTCAGAGACCCTTACTACCAGTCAGGTGAGTAATTTTTTTTTTTTTTTTTTTTTTTTTTGCATGTATGATTATTGATACTCATCACATCATACACATCAGGAGGATGTGCTCAGCCTTGCTACTGCCTGTACCCAGGGTCAGGGACATTCAGCAGCCAAACATATGGGGGCTGGAGTGGGAGGAAACTGCTGGCTCCTAGGGTCCTTTAGGTGTAGCTACTTCAAATGCATACAAAACACACTGAATACCATTAATTCTGATGAATTTCTTATCAGCTAATAAATTACCTTTTGTCTCTCCTTGTGTGTTTCTATTTGAACTCTGGGTGAGGAATTCAGTGATTTATGATCCCATTGCCCTGCCTGTGATCTCTAATACAGTTTTTCAAATATTTGTCTAATTAGTTTACTTTTCCATCTGCTGTTTCTGCCTTAAACCTCCTCATTACTTTTTGAAGAAAATTAACATGTAAGTAAGAGAATAAATATATTTATTAAGAAAAATAAAAAGTAGAAGAATCAAGGCTTTTAGGCTATACTCTGTATGTACAATATTTTTTTCTGGGACAATCTCGCTATTCATGAATATTTTATTCATTTCCAATTAACATTTGAATTCTAATTTCTTAGCATCTCTTAGGTGCTGTTGGGCTTTTGAAGTGAATGCTGCAATACATAGGAAGAATGCTTTTTTTTTTTGTAGTCTATTACTTCTGAGCAGCTGTTCAAAAGACAAATTCTCTCTCTTCAGGAGCAGTTATGTGTAAGTTTCATTGAAAGTCAGTTAGAATAGATTGCCTTTCATGGGAAAGCAATGTCTGAAGTGGTAAGTTTAACATCTAACTAGATGAATCCTGGATACTGATCAGCCTTAGTGAATGTATTTATTTACAGGAATAGTAGTAAAAAAACTATGTGCAGGACTGGAGTGAAAAGGAAGTGCTCTGGATAGGTTCAGAAGAAATTTGGCTGTGATGAGCATTTCCTTAATTCTTGATTATCTAACCCATATACCAATTTTACATGGGGAAATGTAAGATGTTTTGGAGAATTCATGGGGAGATTTGTAGGAGAGTGTCAAGTGAATTAAATATGCCAGACTTCTGCATAAAGTTCTCAATTAGAAATCAAGAAACTTTTTCTGCCTGGAGCTAAACTGCTAAACAGTGATTAGTTTCAGTCAGTGGACACAGAGTTAGTTTTACCAAGCTTGGACTGTCAGATCCTGAAGGAATGAGACAGAAGGGCTGGAAACCCTGCTGGATCTGTGGGAGAATAAATAATTGTTATAATCTGGGGCTGCACACCAGGAATTTAATTGAACGCATCAACATATCTCAGTAAGGATATTAGGAGCCCATAAGAAGATAATGCCTTTCAGGTACACCTGTCAGAATTTCTAAAACAATGAGACCTCTCCTAGCTTTATGGAGGAAGGTATACATATATTTTCAGCTGACTCTTTAAATTGGTTTCAATGTTTCTGCTTTTGTATCTTAAAAAATCTTTAAAAATTCCCTATCAGTGAAGTTATCAAAGTCAGAATTAAGAACAATTAGCTGAAATACTGCTTTTCAGCATGATTATAACTAATTTCCATATGTTTTGCAGGGAGTTGATGTTGTGACCCATTTTTTAAAACATCTTGGCTTAGTATAACACAAAATTTGCTTATTATCTGAGAGCTGTTCATAATTAATTTTTATATTCCTTGAAAAACTTGTTCCATATGTGGTCACAAAATGATTGGAACAATAAAAAGGATAAAGAAGAGGAAGGTTGAGAATATGAAGGCAATGCAAATGAGGGAATGTAAAGGGGAGAAGAATGGAAGGGGTGAAGGAAAGCTAAAACTGAAGAAAAAGACAAGAAGCAAAAGAAAGACAAGATTAGTTCTTTAGCAAGAGAAGGAAGAGGTCCAAACAGAGTTGGTGGGTTGAAATCAAGTCTAGGGAAAGTACATAGGAAAATTCTAGAAAGAAACAAAGCCAGAGAAAATTACCAAACATCTTAAACTTTTTATGTGAAAGCTGTAAATGTAACATCTTGTACATATCCAGCTAAGTGACTATAAAACTGAGAGGTATAGTTTGATAATGTGATATACCCTCTTTACTATAAATTGTATTTTTCTTAAATGAATTCCTTGTTGAATACCTTATGAGAAAAATACCTTATCTCTATTTTAAAAGTTTATAGTAGAAGTGGCAACGAAACTCTTTCCATTTTTTTTCAGATGTGTATTACCCTCAATTTTGTATCTATTTCAGTCTAAATTGGTACAACTTCAAACTTAGCTCAAAGCTCTTACTAGCAGATTGAAGAGCCCTCTGTCAAATTTCTGTCTCTTGGGTGCTTAGGCTTAGATGAAGTAATTTCTGTAATAAGAAAAATAGTTGAAGCTTTCCAAGTGTCATTATAAGGCAAGATTTTAAAACTATTTCATGACTCCCTTATTCTCTCTTTCATTCTGCCTCAGTTTTTGTTAATACTCTTCTTCAAATGGGCATGATAAACTGGTAATAGGTAAAGATGAAAATCTCATGAAGTTTCTATTCAACATTCCCCAATTTCTATACATGAAGACAGCTAATCTTCTTTCTGAGGATTTAGATGCAGCCTAAATGATATTGGAGATAGTACTGAGACTAGGATTGGGGTTATAGCTGAGATGTCTGCAGCAACGACTGCAAGTATTGTAACTGACTGAAGAAAACAAAGGGACAGGTTGTTTGTATGTACCTGTGTGTGGTTCTACCTTCCCAAATCCTTTAGACCTTTGTTTTCAAGTAGCAATGCTTGTTCTGGATGTGCAACGTCTATTTGCTGTTTGAATACATGCATTTTCACTTTAGTGATCCATTTTGTTGGTGCCAGTGTACCAAGTAGTCTACAGGACTGCATGGCATTCTTTATCAAGAAACCCTTGATTTCAGAACTGATTAAATTAGTTTGATTATAACCTTTCTCAGCTTGTGCAAGTCTTCAACTGTTACTTTTCTTTGAATTTTTCTGGTCAGATTCAGCAGTTACATTTGCTTTGGTCAGACTTGAGTGATAGTATCTGAAAGATTTACAGTCTCCTACATAGCCTAGCAGACTTTAAAATGGATGCCCTGAATGCCACACTACTCCAGTTTTAGTTTTTTTCCTGAAGATTCAGAGATCTACTGAAAGTTCCTATTCCTGGCTCAGAAACCTCACTGGCTATTAGTTCAAAGCTACTTATGGACTTTTTGCCCAGTTTAGTCATTACTTTTGTCTCTTACTGAGTTACTATTAAATTGCTGTCATTGCATCCTAGGATTTTTGTCAAATGCAAAACAAAAATACAAAAGACTACTTCTGTTAATCTGGCTCTTCTATAATTTCCTTCTCCGCTATTAACATTGCGAATTTCTTTTGTTTTTCTGAAACATACGTTTTATTAGTCTCCTTAGCCCCGCTTGCCCTCAGTGTGTGTGAATTCTCTACAGCTGCTAGGCTAATTCTTATTCCTAGTCAAGTGGATTAACTATATTATTATCCTAAAAACTCTGCATGCATTCGCATGCTGATAGCCTCCATTATTCTTTTTTCTTCATTCTGAAATGTATCTGGTTGCCAAGAACTAGGTTTTTGTAGCAAGGTTATCTTTAAAAATCCCTTGTCATGTATCATCTTTATAGAAGAACCAGAGCTGGTCTTTCAGCTGTGTTTCATAAGAGCAAGGATGGGAGATAGCTCAGATTTGTGAGCTAAATAGTAAAATAAATACTTCTGGAAATGAAACTATATCCTTTTCCACAGCAACGTACTATGGTTCATCTTTCAGGACTGAATAAGGAATAAGATGCTTTCAATAGTAAACTTCTCTGACACAGAATCCAACATCCTAGAAAGGGAACAAATGTGTTATTCCTTGGACTTTCACAACAGCAGGCTTTAGGCTTGTGCAGTTCCCAGGTGAATATGGGAGCTGTCTTTGTCCTTAGGAATACTGCACTATCAGGCTCAGTGGAGCAGATGTTTCAAGGCTAATATGGGAAGAGTGGTAGAATGTGGATCAAGCTGCTCTGCACTTTTAGCTGCCAACTTTCTCCCCACCTGCAGGAGGGAAAATTAACTGTTGGTTGATTTTGGCTACAACAGGGGTCCAATGCAAATTGCTTGGAGCACAAATGTCTGCTCATTTCCAGTCAGCAGAATAGAGAAAATGATTCTTACTGAAATATAAAAAAAACAAACCTGAGGCTTTTAAATTCTGTTAAATAATAGGGTACACAAACTTTGAGCTTTGTTTTCTTTCCAACATTAGTGTTAATATTCTGAAATATTTTTAGGGAAAAATTATTGGTGCTTCTATTGTCTAGTCATTTTTATTGTATCTTTGACAACAGCAAATTAAGTCAGTTGTAAATGTAAGGCTCCTGCCAACTGATATAGCTTATCTACACAGTAAGGCTCCCTTTAATGACTCTCATAGGCAGTTGTATACGTAGATGGAGAAATTAAGTACCAGATACATAAAAAGGGAGTGAAAAGTACTGTGCCCTGCAATCAAGCACTACCAGAGCTTAATTGGTGTAAAGTGCTCTTTTATATGAAGATATCATAAAAAAGTAATTAGCATGTTTCTTACTTTTCAAGATAGAAAGACCTATGTGACTTTCACAGTGAGCCCAGTCAAACAAATACACTATTTCACTTAAGAAGTGAAGCAGGATTTTCTTCAGCACTGTATATTAAGCATGTCAAATTCAGTTTAAATGAAAACTGGCTGTAACCCACATCTGATGCTGAACTATAGGGTAACACCCTAACTCATTTAGCTTTCATAAATAAGTAGAGCAAAGAAAATTATTCGCCAGCAAAAAGTCAATCAGGATCTGACAGCTAGCATAGCTGTCTTTGCTTAGTGAGTAGCCCTAGATCACTTGATGAAACTGACTAACAAATCATCTGCTGAGGTTATAAAAGAGCTCCACCCTTGCTTAAGGAAGCCTCTGCTCTGGGATACCTAGAGGGAAGAAGCAGAGCTTGGGG